GCTTCCTTAAATCCCCTCTCTCTTTCTAGTCCTTTCCTGTCTGTGCTCTTCTTACTCTGCATCTTCTTTCCTTCCATGCTGTAATTATTGGTCTCTCCTCATTCTCTTCACTCCTTCTCACCCTCCTCCAATTGTCCCATGTCTTTGTCCTGGGGCATTGTTTGTTAATGGAGAAGGAGTGAACACCTGCACCATATGCTGTGCTCCAAAAAGTTGAAAGACTCAGGAAAATACCTGGTTGGATGTTCGCATGGGTCAAGGCAGACCCCTCTGTTATAATTATCCTGCATTAACAACAATATTGGTAAATCATTAGCAAACCATATGTCATGCCTTCCTCATCCCACCCTCCTGTACCTCCAACCTTGACCCACCAACTGGGTTTTCTTGTGCTCCTCCAAAGGGAGCCAGTCAGGATAATGAGCAAAGTGCTTTTTAATCGACCATATGGTCCATCTCCCCTCTCTGCAGAGAGTGGAATGAACCATATTTGCAGCTAATTAAGACATTAGCTGATGAACAAACTTTATCTTCGACTAAAAAGCAGAGCGGATTCAAGAGAATGCAGCAGCATTCATGTGTAATCCGGCTGCCCACTGGTGCTAGATTATTCATAACCCATCTGAATCTGAGCAATAACCCGCGTTTACGCATGACGCATGTGTACTTGAAGTGTAGCAGCATTGTGACTCAACTCCTCCGAGGCCCGTGGGCATGTTTGCCTCTTATCTCGGACCCAGAACAGAAGTTTAATGGCAGGGGATGCAACGACTGAAGAAGGGTGTGCTGTAACCCGACCATGCTTCCTGGTGGTGTGAGCTATATGCACCCGTTTCTGCAGATCATCTCTAAATCTAGACTATCAAAACGAAATTAAATGTGTGTTCTTAGGGAAAGCTCAGTGGATCAACTTTTTTTTACAACATTTAATGAGAAAAACACAATTCCTGAGGGACATTATGCAATATTATACTGATGGCCTGGATGTGGTTTTATGAGGGGAGGGAGGGGCACTTGGCTTTTTGTTCTAGGTTTACAGTGGGTGTTGTGTTTAAATTGACTGTTACATTGTAATTATGGATGTCAAAGCCACCAGTTTATCTCACATCCCTTCAGAGAGTGTAGAGTAGGAATAAAACTTCACTCACGGTAGAAGATGTACTGTGCGTAATTGGACCAGACCCTGTCATCCGCGTAATGACCGATGGAGGACGCAGTCAGGGACGAATTGCAGGCCACAATGTGAAAGCCGCACTCTGACAGCATGTCAAAAGCTCTCTCCAGGTGTCTGAACTTAAGGTAAAACCTGCAGGTGTAACGGTCCGGTGGTCGGTCCGAGTCCCTGTTCTCATTCAGGGCGTCTCCAAATACCTCTTTCGCCAAGCCAATCCTACTGCTAATGAAGATCCGCGGTAACTTTTTGGCCTTGGCATCAGTTTGACTTTCTCTGCCTCCCCCGGCGCAAACGCCTTTGAAAGCGACCGTGATGTAGCCGTACCTCCTGTCCAAGGAGTAAGAGGGATAAAACCTCTGGTCGCTGCCCTGCGACACATCATCGTAATCACTGTAGTACAAGTCGTCAGGACATAGTTTTGAATCCTCGGACGACAAAAGTTTGGCCAATTCTGGCAGCTGGAAGTATTCCGCCTCTCTTTTCAACCTTCCTCTCTCGGGGAAGTGGTCAGGGAGGACAACTTGCTTGTCTCTAAGGTAATCCAACACATACCGAAACAAAAAGCCATCTCTGTCAATAAAATAACGTCCTCTAAGGTCCCGGGACAAGTCATTTGAAGACCCCTTCTTGTTAGAGAACAGCTTCCCAAGTAAGGAATTTGGAAAGCTTGTTAAGGTGGCATGACGAGTGTAATACACTTGTCCACCCACATTTAGCTCAATAACATCCGATGGAGGGTTTTGCACAGAGCCTTGCTCTTTTGCAGGTTGCGTTTTGCAGTTTTCGCTCAGTGCCATATTTTTCTAGATCTTTCACGAAATCTGAGTCTCGTCTTGGAGCGCAAACGTCCCAGAAGTTCAGGATGTGGGGTGTAGCTGCATGGTGTTAATACACTCAGACCCAAACCATAGTCTTGATTCAAGCTGCAGTCCTCGCATCCAACAATCCCAAGGTGTGCCTACAGTAGATCCTTCAACCCCGTGCGTAAATGTGCCTGCCCGCGGTGCATCCTTTTTTTTACAGAATCGATTATCATAACCAGTGAGCGCATCATGTTACACACATCCACTGCGATGGGTCATTACTGTGACTTCATAGAAATATAATCCTCAGTTCACTCTTCCCACCATTAAAAAAAGTAATTTGCTCAAGTTTTCTGTGGAAAAAAGGTTCACCGTCTTGCGTCCGGCTTCTAGTTCAGTCCCATCAGTCCATGATAAATCGAAGAATGTGCGTGCATCCCATCATCCTGCTACTGAGCATCACTCCTGACAACTAGGGATGCTGCTGAAACATGCTCCGAGGTTGCTCGCAGAGAGGAGGATGGAAGCGGGACTCCTGCGCGCACCCATCTCTCCAAACTGCTGAGTGCGGAAACGTTTGGTCCGGCAGAAGGTTTAAGATAATGTTGCTCCAAGCTGTGCAAGAGAGAGAGGGAAAAACCGTCCCGTGAAGTAACGTCTTACATCATCTTAAAGGAAAATGACATTTGCAGACGATCGACGTGAAGCGGACTGATGTGGGTGCATCTGTGCAGTTTTTCATAAAATTGTGATCTAGCCACGGGCGACATGCAGCTGGCGGAGAGGATTCAGGTCTAATGCAGTTTTAACATCCAGCGTTGCGGATTTTAATCCCTTCTCCCGAGTCTTCACAGAGGCTTTCGCATTTACATTTAACGCTTTTAGCTGACGCGCTTATCCCGAGAGACGGGTGAGGGGTTAGGTCCCATGCAGTGTCTTGCTCAGAGACTCATCGGCAGTGACAGCCACACATGAACAGAACTGGTGGTCACACCATGCAACTAACTCTTTAACTCATTTTCCCATCCATCTGTTCTGTCTGCCCATGAAATGAAATAAACGAAACATCAACATGACAGTTGCCCTCTTCTGCATCCGATTGAACCTCCTCCAGGAAACAGTATCACTTCTTTCACCAAGGACCCTTTGACTGAATATGAAAATTGATCCCTTCCTCATCGATTTGACCGAGTGAATTCTTAATTCAGCACCACGGACAGATCTCAACCGGCTCCAACTCTCAGCTGTTTGATGCTCCATCTGCTCGCAAACAAACTGATATAGTGCACTTTAAAAACAAAACAGTGCATTGATTAATAGCTTTACATTTTATATTTATTTTACATGAATATGATTTTAAATTTGGTGTCAAATCCCCTACAAAGTGCATGCTTCTTGCTGTTTTTTACCAGCAATTGTGTGGGAAAACTCAGGAACATGAACCCTCATTACTGAGTCATTTCATTCTGGATTATAGTAGCAGTAGAACAGGGGTTTGGGACTTGTGTATTATTGCTCAGGGCCTGCTCAGTGAATTTGTCATAGAGCCATCAGTATACTCCACAGTGAAGCCAAGTACTGTTGGGTGGAAAATCCACTTTGCAGGAAGTGAGACGCAAAGCTGAGTTTAAGGCTTGACAATGCACATCGCATCTACATATGCAGTTATATTTGTCCACAAGCCTGTGTTGTAGATAAGGTATATCACATATGTGGACGTTCACCAGGAAAGGTGTACGATCATCTACACACCTTACAGTTTGTTTTATATATGAAGCCTAAAGTCCCTTATCTCCACTGCCCACATCACATGGAGCCAGCAGCAGCACCAACACGGATCTGGGGTTCAGACTGTTTTGTATCTCTTGTATTTGCTTTTCAGCTTGTTTGTTTTTTTGTGTGTGTGTTTTGAAGCCAGGTTGTAATAAATCAGAGGCTTTTATTGCTGCAGTGCTGAGAGAAGGCGTTGATGATGGGAGAGCACCCTTGACTCGTGGTTTTGAGGAGGCAGCGGTCACGCTTTACTCTGTTAATTCAGAGTATATTGTGCTGGAGAGGGGTTGCTAAGCAGCCACAGGGGACTGAGTGGGATTCAAACAGTGGGGATTTAGAACTACAGTGAGCATGCCACTGATCTCTTTCCCTGTGATGTGAGGTTTCGCTGCTTACATTATACATAATATTGTAATGTTTTGTGGTTTGTGTGACCTTAACATGGGATGCAAACACCACTGTAGGAAAAACAAATCTAGATTATTTAATGGCGGTGCTTTATTTATTTAATATAGTCATATATTGATGTGAGTGTATCTCTGGTGTTGGACTTAAGACACAGTAAGACACAGAGTTCATTCCTTGCCCCGTGCTTGGGGATGATTCTCCTCCCATATGTGCTATAAACCCTGTTTCTTATTCATCTCACTCATCCTCCCATTAGAGACAATTTCCCTGCCTCCTGTCTTCACTTTATTTCCTGTTCGTGCGCTACTCCCAGGTTGGATTCAATCTTTTGGAAGAGGTTGAATTTCATGCAACTTCAGCATGAATAATGTAAGACAATATGGGTCCCAGCTGAGCGTGAAGTTAGAAAATCTGTATCTATAACATTAAATTGACAATTTTGGATTTTGCAAGCTCTTGAGTTATAATTTTGTAGTGTGTCCTGGGAAAAAATACACAGAAATAAGACACTTTGAGGTTGTATTGAATGTACTTCTGTCAAATAAACAATCGGGTCAACAAACATGATTTATGATGAAATGCTCATTGATAAATTTACACTTCTGGTCTCCACAAATTTGTTCTGGTGGTGTGTAGTTTCTCAAACAAGTCAGTGAATTTGCACTTTTGGAAAATGTTATAATGCACCCTTGAAAGCAAGAAATAATACCAGCCCCAGCCTCTCTGCAGAGTTATTATCCCTCTGCATATAGTAATAGCCTGCCTTACCTTATTTCCTCTTCTCCCAGGCACTTTTAAGCCACTCATATTTCCACATAAAAGAAGCAGGAGTATGAACTGGCTTGTCTTGAGAAAGAAAATGTATTCTTCAGTTTTCTAACTAAATCATAAATGAAGTCACAGTGCTGCAGTTTTTAATAGTAAGTTAAAAGCACTTTAACCTCCTTTCTATTTGAATAAAAGCAATCTTTGCTTTATACTTTGAATATGCACATGTACATCCCAACAGTGAGGTGAAAAGGTCACCCATTACAGCTTAATTAATAATTATCCAGTAGTGTTTTTTTATTTACTGATGCAGCCAGTGCAGAGTGTCCTCTTGAGCCCCTGGAGGCAGTAAACTAAGTAGACCAACATGGAAATTGTAATCTCAAAGTATTATTTATCAGTTTATAAGCATTCAATTAATCAGTACATTATTTGGCCAAAGAATGCTCTGTTGTTTTGAATAAGTTAAAGAGTATAGAGTTTAGACTGCAGTGCAATATTATATTATTTCATGTTATTTACACCAAAACACCAACATTGTATTGCGTCCTGACTGAGGCAGTGCAGTTCGCAGGCCAGTGCAGCAAAGACTGAGATGCTGCAGTTTATTTAAATAATGTAACATGAAAAGAGAAAACCTGCCCACAAATAAACAGAAGTGTGAGCTCAAATGTTCTTGCATCCACTTTTAGACCCAATAAATTGCATATGATTTGAACAATAATCCTGTGCATTAATCATAATTTATTCTAATAATCATGCAGTGGTGGTGGTGTCTGTAATCGCAACATATCATTATTTAGGATGTATTGTCTAATAAAAGCTCTTTTCCCATGGCAGATCTATACTTCTTTGGTGTTTTTCACAGGTGGAAATAAAAACCACCCTCAGTCCCACTGCCCACTGATCATCATCACTGCACTGTGGATGACTGCAATGTCCATTCATAATTTCTCCCACTGATCCTCTGCCTCAGTTGTCTGGCTTTCTCTCAAAGGCTCCATTAACAGCTGAGAGACGGTGGAGCCCCCACAGCTGGACAGCTGTATGAATAATCCTGTAAGAGGAGAAGAATGCAGACGATTTGATCAGCACCAGTTCATACTCTGTTGTCCGTCTTCTACATAGCGTTATTAAGATGGCACTGAAATTAATTCTTGCCAAAGAAATGTGAATATGTCTTATGTTTGGAAGTATCTTTTTACTACTGTCTTTTCATTCTCAACTATTTTATTATTCTATTTTTATTTCTTGCTGATGTTATAACTTGGGTTGTATTGTATTTTATTTATTGTTTTTATGAAACACTTAAAAAAACACTGTAAAGTTGATTTTAAAAGTGCTCTATAAATAAAGATTATATATATTATATATATATTATTATATCCTTTTATTATTATTATATATTATTATTATTATTATTATTAGCATTATTAGTGTTACTATTATTGTTATTACTAGTAGTAGTATTATTATTAGCATTAGTATTAGTATTATTAGTAGTA